CTTTAAACTCATATTACCAAGCGATTAAAAACTACGTAATTTGAATTATTGAAGTTTTTTCTATAACCATTTGATTGGATATTTGATTAACCGACTCATAATTAAATTGTAAATCGTAATTGAATTTAATCATCAGGCAATTAGTAAATGAAAATTGTGAAATCCAAATCAAATCCACACCCCCAACGACCCAACGGCTCATTTAGCAGCCATAACACACAACAAATTATGGTTTGCATTTTGATAATCAGCATTTTTTCATTTCCTTTGGCAAGGTGTGCCACGTCCATAAACAAAGGGAATTTTAACTAAATTATGTTGGACTTTTTGTTTGGCTAAGGCTAATGCCCTCTGGACACGTCACGAACGGGTTGGTTTGGGTTATGATTCCGATTTAAATGTAGCTCTGGGTTGGGCCCCCGTCCCGGATGTTTTCCCTTGGGGTTGTGACAAAAGCACAGCGAAAAAACAAATGTTTCTCCAAGTCCAACTTCATTTCCAGAACCTCCATAAGAGCGCGGGCATCGTAAGCAGTAACTAGCATATTCGGTTTCATTAGAAGCGCTTTTCCTAGTTTTTTCCTCCCTTTTCCTACCCCTTTTTCTGGCCGATTGCACTTTTTGCCCGACATTTTTCCAGTCTGGGTCTGGTATTAGTTTTTTCAAGGCATTAGTTTAGTGCTGGGCGTGTGCGGGCTTTTGATTTATGGTTTCGAATTGTGCGAGTTGCGTTTTTTATGTTAATTAAATTGCTTTGCCTCGGATTGGATTGGATGGGATGGGATGGGATGGGGTTGTGCTGCCGTTTCTGGTCTGGCTGCTGAAGTGCATGTTCGCCGATGCCTGACTAAGTGCACTTGGCCAGCCAGCCATTTCAATCCTGGCTCCTGGTCAAAACCCAACTGTCGCACGAACCGCTCTTTGACCCGCCTGAGCAAATGAACTGCAGCACGCTTATTGTCACTAAATGCTGTTGACCCAGCAGGAAGGCTTGGCAGCCGGCTGTTCGGGCCTGTTCTAGTCCTTCTGATGCTCGATTCGAGTGGAGTCGAGTGGGACCGAGTCAAGGAGCTGTGGCAGTTATTAGAAATTCCATTATGCATGTGTATGGGCTGCCCATGTGGGCTGTGTCAACACTGACGGTCGGGACTCAGGACCCCAGACAGGTGGCTTGTCATCAGCGATACACTGGTAAACAGATCAGATTCAAAAGTATTCAGCATTATGTATAAATATATATATAGAACCTTTTAAATTTTTGTATATATGATTTTTCAATGTTGTGCTTTAATCAATCAAATCAATTCACGAATGAAGTTGCCTTCTATTTTAAAATTGCCTTAAACCTATCGTCATTTGCACAAAAGAAAACGTATCAATATTTTATATTTAAGCAAGTAAAATTAAAATGAGAGAATAAACCTTGACAAATGAGAAGACTTCAGGAGAAATTTTGCATCTCGTAACCACCATTTCTTTCCAGTGCCCCTATGGTAAGTCACCCTCGCCTTTCCAAGAGCTTGCTATTTCTGGTGAATAATAAATCTTTCAATGAGCTGGCAGTCAGGCAATGAGGACGCTGATGGGAAACCGAAACAGAAACAGAAACAGGAGCTACCGTAACTCCTGGTAAACATGCCAAAGAGCAAAACGGGGCCCATTTCAATGGAAAGCTGCAACAAAAGAACATTAAATACAAAGGCAATGCCACCCACACGTACACATGAGTGCACATAGATATTTTACGCCAGCTGGACCGATATCTGTTTGTTTTTCTCTTCCCTTTATAAGGAGCGACTCCTCAAATTATTATGCTGTGATATTCGAGTGTGGAGTGGGCCCTCCATTTCGGCAGCTTGTTTGTCCTGGGTGCCTGCCACGTTTTCAGGATTGCAATATTTAACCAGCAATTTCAAACTCGCAACAAATTGAACACAGTTTAGGACAAGCCCTCAAAAGCAATCAATTAGTTTGAAACTAAAACTAATAAGCTTTCAGATTCCCAAAACTAAATTTATCTACTTTTATCAGGTATCCTGCGGCAACACAGAAAGAAAATGCTATGTTGGAAACATGAACTGAAAGAGTAACATTACACATAGAAGCCAAACATGAATTTATAATTAATTTGTTGAGCTCATATTCAAACACACATAATACATTTCTTTTTGTAAATAAAATATTTACTTTAAAATTGTTGTTTCAAAAAATGTAAAGCATATAATTGCATAAAATACATCTTTCGAACAATCTTTATTAAAAATGTTTGTATCTCATAAACTTTTGCTAGGCGACCTGTGGTTAGTGTAAAAATTCAGCTTCCAGCCCCTGGGAATGTCGACAAAAAATGGCATCTAACTTTTCAATTTGGTATCTCTTGCGGCTTCGACGAATGACGCACTCTGGCCAGATTGGAAAACAATAAAACAGGGTAGAAGGAAAAGTGCTGTGAAAAGAGCGTGAAAAGTGTGGAACGGAAGGTGAAAGGGCATCCAAGCATCCTGGGAGCAGGACAAAGCGAATGGAAACAAAGAAGAAGGGTGGGGTGCATTGATATTTAGCAGGCAGCCAAATCCCCACTCCAGAAAGGTGGCTCTTGTTTTTGGCTCTTCACTTTGGCTGCCATGTAAACAAATCGCAAAAGGATAAGGACAAGGCACTTGTAAGCTGGCACTTAGCAGAATCGAACAAATATGTGACTTTTGCACAAACTTTTTACCTCTCCAACTATAACTCGAGTGTGCGTGTGGATTTATAGACATTGTTTGGCTGCCCTGCCGTTGCTTTTCCCAGAACGCTGTGCACCCGGCTGTGTGCTATGATTTCTAGCTACACCTTCCACCTAAACACTAACAAGCAAAGTTTTTCCAGCAATAAGCAAGTATTTGCGGTTGCATTTCGTTGCTCCTGCTACTGCTTTTGCCGCTGTTCCGAATCCTGCTGGGAAAATTCTCAGCAGGCGGGAGCCGGCAACTACACTTTCCAATTTTCAATTGGCAAACAAGCGGAATTTTCGATTTCAGTGTGCAAATATTTATGCGGCTAGCAAGGACTTTAAAGTACTGCTTAATTTAAAGCAGGTGTTTTTCTACCTGGTACTCGCAGATATTATGGGTTTATATTTTTCCTTAGCGTTTATTTTAACAGATATTTTCCACGTAGTACTAAAAAAATAGCCGAAAATAAAACACATATGACGCCAGCTTTTCAGTAACATAAATGAAACTAATAAAAAAAAATCATTTATCATTACAAGCCAATGAAAATCGAAAATGTATGGTTACATGTGGCACTAATAAGTTCATAACATAAAGTCAAAAGAAGAAGGCAACTTAATGAAGGAAGCAGGGGGTAGCTTAAAGTCTTCACTGTTGGCTATAGTTTTCCAATCCACTATTTTTGTAATTTCTTGTTGCTTGGACTACCGGTGTCCCTGGCCAGAACGCAAAGGCAGCTGGCCAATTATGCTGGCACGCTCCGCTGGTCATTAAGGTCAATGTGCAAGAATCCATTTTACAGCCTGCAAATGGAGTAAATGTTAAAGGGCAGCTCGACAGTGGGATTGGCATAATGAAAAACATGCTGATTTCCTCTGGAATGTGCCATGGAGTCGCAGAAAACATCGCCCGATATGCAAACAACTCCCGAAGGTAATGAATTACGCACAGTTGGCATGTAGGAAAAGAATGAAAACAATTTTATTTTATTCGCCTCGCGAGAGATTTTCAAGGGACCGAATCCTTGCCCCGCATTCCATTGACTTTTCCTCGGCTTTTCCTCCCCTTTCCCCCACCCCACGTAAGGACTGTTGGCAAAGCCGCAAATTATGTGCCATTATTCTTAAGGGCACAGCCGCATGAAATGTGACCCAAATAAGATATAAAAAATTTTTGAGTGCCTTGTTAGGCTATGTTGGAAATGCTGGCAAACGCTTGTAAAACACCAGTTCCAGAGAGGGACAGGACCATTGGCGTGGCTGTGAGTGGGAGCGAGAGTGATGCGCTGCCTTGGCGCCTTGAATTATGCTACGCATTTGTTGACAAACGACTCTGAAATGGGCGGTCATAAAGTTGCCGGAAATTGGCGTTGATTGTTTGGTAATTAATATAAGTTGGCGAGCAAACAAGAAAATTTCTGAAGAAAGTGAAGGTCGCAGAAAATTATATATCTAGGAAAACGTTTGTATTAAGTGTGTTAGAGCGGAAACAAATGATTTATAATAAACCATTTTAGATTCATCCATTCATTGGCATTTTTGTTTTGACTGGCTTACCATTGAAATTCAGTTATATACAGTCTAAGTGTGGGCTTACAATTGGCCAACCGTTTTTATGATAATGTTTCCAATTTAGTAATATTCGTTTGCATAACTGCCCCACCGAAATCCCACTATAATCTATCAAGCTTTCGATGGTTGAAAAAACATTTATAAATCATTTAAGCGCCAAATATGACAATCAGTTGACGAGAAACATGAACAAAAACAAGGTGCAGCAGTGTGGTTTGGTTAACAGAACTTTCCGATACCCTTGAATTATATTTGGTTTTATTTATTGATTTTTACGATTTATAAAAATATATATACAAAAGAAAAAGGGGTTCCCTTAAAACTGAACTTTTTAACTAGTATTAACAAAATTGATTCACATATATTGCCTACATAGTAGGTGGCCAACTTGTGGTCAAAATGACCCTACGTGATTATGAAGTATCCAAAAAAGACTACCTATCAAATAGAGTTTCCAGCATATTTGCATATTTGGGCGAACGCAACACCGCGAAAACCAATGCCAAACACAAACGCCTGCGACTGAAATGCAAGCAATTGCGGTGCAGTTAAGCGCCGGATTATGTGTTATCAGTGTCGCCGACGAGTCCGCTTTTGGACAATATTTCAATAATTTATTAAAATAAATACACTAAATTGGAATCCCCTGGCTTTCCATTTTCACGTAATTTCATCAGCGTTTTTTTAACACCGACCCCATTCCTCTTTTGCAGAGCTCGTCGAATGCGCGCTGCGCAATGTCAATTTAATAATCGAACCACCGGCTGTGCGAAGGGGCCAACATGTGGTGCTGCGGTGCATGTACGACCTGGACGGAGCTCCACTGTACTCGGCCAAGTTCTATCGCGGCCAGCTTGAGTTCTACCGATACACGCCCGGCGAGTTCCCCAACACGAAAGTATTTCCATTCCCCGGCATTCATGTGGATGTAAGTATTTAATTGAAAAATATTTCAGTTTTGGGTTTCGTTCGTTTTCATTTATGGATTTATTGTAGGGCAAAAAAATCTACCTATCTATATTTGAAAAATACAAGTATTATTTAGTGAAGTACAGAATTAGGTAGCGGTTATATTTCTCTCGATGTCTTTGTTATTTGTATTGTATTTAGAAATATTACATTTTAGTTTAATAAAATCGTTGTTTTGTTTTTATATTTTGGTTTTCTCGATACAGAAATGAAATATTTATAGCGCCATTATATTTTCTTGGGGAATAGTTAAATGTATGTATTTGTTTCTGAATTAAATCAAGAAAATATAAATAAACTTTTATTAGGAAGCATCACACAAATTTCAAGAGGTCACTGGTCTCTGGACTTCAGTCGGTCGATTGCAGCTTGAAAGGAGCAAACAACCGGACTGGACCGAACTGAACCAAACCGAACCGAACCGAAGCTCCACTTTGATGTTCTTAATTGCGCGCACACTGCATTTATTTATATTGTATATTTAAAACTTTCCGCTCATGCATATTCAGTTTGGCAGTTTTATTGTTATTGGCGGTTATTCAAAAAATGCCAGGGGACACCTGGCCGTCAGGGTGCCATGATGCCGGAATGCCGGCTTTTGTGGACGCTATCAACGCGCGGCTATCTGCGGCAAAAATTTCATTTAAATTTTTGCATGCTGCGTCTGAGTTTGTCGCCCACCTGCAAAAACTGCAATCTGCAATCTGCCAAACGAAAGGAGGCGTGGCCGGGGGGCTGAGCTGAGGTCGGTCGGAGAATTGAGTCTCGGCTGGGGTAATTCTACTTTGGCTAGATTATTGAAAAAGTTTATCCAGCCGGCGGTGGTGTGGGTGGCAGGCAGGTCCTTGCAATTTCGTTGCTTCGATAAAGTTGCTCCGAATCTGGCTAAATATTTCATCAGGCTATTGAGTTTGTGCCAGCGAGTTTATCTTTAGTTTTTTTACTCTCCTTTTTATTTCATTTGGCCTTTTATTTTTGTTATTTTGTCGTCAAAAACTTTTACTTTACCTAGCCGAAGGCAATTTTTTCAGTCCTTTTGCTCTGCTGGCTGGTGGCTCTGTTTGTATTTGTTTGTTTTTTAAGCTGTTTTAATAAATTTGAGTGCATTTCTTTGTTGGAATCGATGTCAGATTGCGTACAGCTGACTGAGGGCAGGTTGAAAGTCGATTTTTACTTTTTAAAGTGCAGCATAACATTACCGCTTGTTAAAAAATGTATGTACTTTATGAATGTGGGTACAAAAAGACCTTTATTTATTCTTGAGAGCAATATCAATTTTATTTGAAAGTGGTTGGCCCCAAATACTGATTTTAAGCTTTTTTGAACTGTAACTTGGCAATTATACGATCCACAGTCAATTGAAGCTCTGTATTTGAAAGCTTGTGACTAACCCGTAATCCTCTTCTAGTTTGAGTAAACTCTCAACACAGTCAACAAAAATATCTATGGTTTGACTGAAAATCGTATTATGAAAAATAATTTATTTCTTGTGGAAAACCTAAAAAGGGGTTTATATATTGTCAAATGAATTGTCCCCTTAGGTAGTTTATGTTATAAAGTATAATTTAAATTATTACATAGCAATGTTTGTACTATTAAAGATAAAATTGGTATGAAAGCAATAAGGTTGAGTTCTTTGTAACTGTATTTTGCTATTCTTTTGTGTGGTTTCTGCGACTTATTCTTTATCCTATGCTTAAATACCGTATTTGCTCTTTGCTCAATAGGTAAGCAGCTCGAACGCCACCCAAGTGCTGCTGCGCAACGTGGGATTCGCACTTTCTGGCAACTTTTCATGCGAAGTGACCGCCGATGCCCCACTTTTTTCGACCGCCACCGCAATGGACACCATGCAAGTTGTGGGTAAGTCTGACTCTAAGCTGATTCAGGCAAATTGGCCTAAAGTGCGCTTAAAAGCTCTTAAAGAAGCGCAGAGCGAGCGAGTGTATCGGCCATATCGGGCAGCCTTTGACATTAGTCGCCTTTGATCGCCGAGCAGCGTTCCGTGGCTAAGCCCTCAGCCCTGAGTCCTCAATCCTGTGGCTGCTTTTCGGCTGCCAGGGAAAGTTTCTCGCTTCCCTCGGCAATTTGTTTCTGTCCGGGGCCAAGGTCGCAGCAGCTGTTTCTGCTGGTTGCCAAAGTTTTGCGCTGAAAATTGCGTCATTAACAGGCCATTTCGTCTTTGCCAGATAAGCGGGTTTGCCGGCAATGTGGCGGTGGTTCGGTGGTTCGGTGCCTCGTTGCCTCGGTGGCTCGGTGGTTCTGGATGGGGCTCCTGCTCCTGCCCGGGGTCATTTGGTAGTCTTACCTGTGCGCCACGCATTTCACGGCTTTATGCGCTTTAAATGAGCGTGGAGCGGCGAGCTCTGAATTACGAATTTAATCAGCGCGGCAGGGTCATGAAATCCAATGAGCGCTAGTCCGTTTTAGCTTAACAATTATTTGCCTCCTTGCGCATCCAGCAGCTGGCAAAACTGATACACTTAAGGAATTTCATTTTTCCACAAAAATGGTTCTCAAAAGTAGTTTAAAATAGTGTATTTTCGTTTTTTATTTAAATCATATTAATATGATTTAGACTTGCATTAAAATAGCGATTGAGTTAAGCAACTTGACTTTTTGTAGCTAAGAGTTCAGTTATAAAAAGTATTTTTTGAACAAGAGTTTGTATTATGTCTTTTTTTTCAAAATCAGATTTTTTCAACAAATAATTAACGTTAAAGGTTTAAAATACATTTCCTTAAAAATTTTACGAACATGTATGTTTAGAATTTAAATTTTATGCAAGATTAAGTAAAATGTGTTTAAATTAATACAAAAATTAATACAAATAATCAACTTGTAAAAGGGATATAATATGCCTTTTGGAGTTTTGTGAGTTTACCACTCTGTTTTATCCCGAGTGCATGGTATTAAAGGCACAACAGTGGGGCATCCACTTGAGCGTTCTTTGTGTGGGTGTGTGCAGCCATATGGGGCGTATGCGTTATGCGACCTGAATCGATGGCCCAGCTTCCGCGCTCGTCAGAGTTAATCTTTCTATCCGCCTGGCCTCAAGCATTCGAGAAATGCGCTCCGACAGCTAAATTGTGCTTTAGCCGCTGATTTTTATGCCACTTGCTGGGCAGGCTTCATCCGGCATTGCCCCGCGTTGTCCTGAACCCCTTCGAGGGTCCTTCGAGCCAAGAGGAAGAAGGCCCGCTGTGTGTGCGTGTGTTTGATTGAGAGCTCGTCTGGGTTAATGGCTCACTGGCTGCTTGTTGCCCAGCATTAAGCATTCAGATGTCTGCCGTTCTGGCCTGGTCTTTATTAGATTGCCATTGCCTTCGCAGTTGCCTTTGCTTTTGCCCCCCGCCAGCTGGCTGCCTTATATTTAACGCCGCATTTAGCCCATTTAATTGGCCGCTTTCGCTTAACTAGCAACTGGGGATTAAAGCCTTTGATCGTGTATTTGTGTATTTGCTTTAAATTCATGAGACGGCGCTCAAGGACGCCTCGCAACTGATTAAAGTTTCATTACCAGCTGCGGCATTTAATTGGTTGCTCTCCGGCCTTCGGCCTTCGACACTCGGCCCTCGGTCCTTGGGATCCACATACATCAATGCTGGATAAGCCAGTTGGGAGCTGACACACTGACAGCCCTTGCCAACCAGCCAACCAGCCAGCCAGCCTCAAATCTCGGGCTTTGGCGGTTATGCCCTGGCTCTGTATCTATATCTTGCGGGCTGTAAGTTCGTTTGGCTGTGTTTTCGGCTGTAGGCTTCTGCGGCTTTGGCCTAATGTCGTCGACACTAAAACCCCAATAACTTGCCGGCTAAACAATAAATTACTGTAGGCAACAGCAGGCAGAAACAGCCACGGACACCATATTGTTTGCACACAGGGAAAAATTCAAGACCTACTACATTTGCAATACAATTTAATAAAAGACACAACAAATACAAAACACTCGAACAGAATGTAGCATACATACAATCATTTAAAGCATGTATCATATTTCAATAATTACTATTAATTAATTGCTTTGTTTTCATTATTTATTTATTTTTATTTTTTGTGATTTTTATGTAACAAGATATTTTTCTCTGTGCCACGTGGTGTTTTCGTTGGGTAAGTCAGATGTTCTTGGCTTTAACGACTGCCAACTCATCTCATCTGCGTAAACTTGCGCTTTAATTTCATCGATTCATTGCATAGTTTTCCCGATGGCCGCCTGATGTTTTATGCATCGGATCAGAGTCAGTCGGTCGCTTTCAGCCAGGTTTAGTTGTGCGCACTCATTCGCTTATGCAGCCGCGTCGTTCTCGGTGTAAATAACTCTGAGGTTTAATCGTGTGTTAATGAGCTCAAGTGGCAATCAGATTGCGGCCCAAGGATCCAGCGAGGAGCCCGCTGAAAACCTCCTTTCAGACGCAGCCCTGTGTCTCGGCGTCGGCGTGGTTCATAAAATAAACACTTTGTCCTTGCGGGGCGGTGCGGGCAATTCAAGGCGTTCCGACGACCTCAAGGACATCAGGGGGCAGGCAGGCATAAAGTGGGTGGCTGGGCCCAAAAGTTATGCTAATTCGGGCTTTCATTAAGTCACATCTCCGCCGCCCATCTTCTTCGGCTGGCACGAGTCAAAAGTTTATAGTTGGCAAACATTTGGGCAGCCTTAAGTTTAATAACTTAATGACACGAGTCGAGGCTGAAAACAAGTGCAAAGTAGGCTGGTCAGCTGCTAAATTAAACTCGAAAGGCCCCAAACACACTGTTCAAGATTTTTATGAAATTTTAGAAAAAATTGTAGGGATATTTTTGAAGGTATTTAGACAAATTAGCCCGATGAGAGGAAAAATAGTCCTTAGCTGACTTTCTATAATTTGTAATTTATGCAATCAAATATAGATTTATATTGAGCAGTATTTTTCAAAACACATTTCGAACAGTGTGCACTTATAGACTGACCCTCATTAGGGGAAATTTGACGGCGGACTCTCAAAGGCAAGCCTGAGCAAAGGCCCGGCCAAGAGGCATTCGATGCTGGGCCGCAAAAAGGTCGAAATTTGCAAGGCAAAAAGCAGAGGCGGCCAAGAGGACGGGAATTAGGAAGTCAGTCACACAGTATTCCAGAAAGTTGTCTTGAGGCGGTATAAAAGAGCAAAGTTGCCGGGGCCTTTGTCATGGAAATTACTTTCTTCATTAGTTACTTTGTTGCTCTCCCGGTAGTTGCTTGGCTATTCCCATCCAAGCTCCGTCTTGGTTGACTTAATTAAAAAGTTAAGCGTGGCGAGAGCCAGGATCTTCGTCTTGCGGTTGTGATTGAAGGGTTCTATGGGCTTCCGCCTCCACTTATGCGCCTATTATTGTGTTTTGTGTCGGTCGGGTCAGCTAATTGAATTGTCGCATTTTCCAGTGAAAAACAAGCCAAATTCAAATTGTCATTGCATTTTTTCAAACTGGTGGAAAATCTTACTGATTGAATCTTAGTCTTATAAGTCTTCGATTACATTGGCGGTTACACTGATTTTATACATTCGTTTTACAAAAATTTACGTTTGCAAGAACATTTTTTAAGTAAAACGTACATATATTTTTATATAATGAAATGAGTGCTCTATGAAATTGATTGACCTTGCGGTGATATTTTTTCTATTTTGCAGAGCTGCCCGAGAAGCGTCCGCAACTTTTCACGGAGCACACCCGCTACGAGCCCGGCGATGTCCTGCGGGCCAATTGCAGCACCCCCCCTTCGCGTCCACGGGCGGAGCTCACATTTACCATCAACAACATGGTGGTGAGTACTTCAACTGCGCTCCGCAATCACTCCAATGAATTATTACCGACCTGGCCGGACGGTCTGCCTCAATTTATTTCATGTTTCTGGGAAGAGTGGAAAACAAATCTGACAGCGGGTCAGCGGCTATTTTGTGTTCAAAGCCGAGCGAATACTTTGAAGTGCTTGTCTATTCTGCTGAGAAATGAACATGAAAATGGGCTAGGACAAGACTTTAATCAAAAGGGTTGTGCTCCGGTTTTCTTTTTTTTTTGTTTTCCAAGCCCTTGCCCTGGGGGCTCGTGCATCCGTCAACGTGGCGTATGCGCAATTTCACAGCCTGCCAGCGAGCGTGAGGATTGTCATGTGTATTAACAATGCATATGAGGAGGCAAAATGGGGGAAAAGCTGCCGCATCTGCGGCTCAAATGCCCGTTTTGTCATTTTGTTACTGTGAAATACAGATTTCTATGCGGCCGCAAACACAACCCCAGATTTCTTGTCGAGTGCCAGTGTTGCCACAATTTTATAGATAAGATTATGATTGTAAGAAAGTAGTATTTTTTTAGTTGGAGCAGACAGATAAAATATCGTAAGATTAACCAATGGATTTGGCTTGTCAAAATTTAAAAATAGCTAAAATTAATTTTTTTTCTTAAATCGGTTCTATCGTTTAATGTATCACTATTTTAAAAAGATTAGCTCTTGAATAAATCCGAAGCCAAAAATGTTGCCAACTATCTGAACTCAAACAAGACTAACACTTTTGGGTAAGCAAGATTTTATTATAAGCAAAGACAAGGCTACTAAAAAAAGAAAACATATTTTTTGTTTAAAAGATTTTCAACTTTTGAACAGATACTATATGCTTTTAGGAATAGCCATTAATAAGCTTATATGTCTACGCTGAGGATCGAGAGCAGCAGAAGCTGATGTTTGCTAGCTCCTTCTACAACTCTCGTGGCTGTAATTCCGTGTGGATTTTCACTTTTGGTTGCTGTTGTGTTGCCATTGTTGTCCTGCGAGCTCTTCCCTTGCAATGTTATGAATATGCATGCCACATGCTCGCTCTTCTTTACTTTCATGCTTATAATTTCGACCAAGGCCCCGATGTCAAGAACAGTTCAGGTTCAGAATCGGTCAAGGCAAGACTTCTGTTTTTACTCTATTTGTGGTTGAAAGGGGTTGTGTCTGAGCCAGAGGCACTCGAAACTAAGGAGTCTGTGAATCCTGCATCCACGTGCTTAACAGGTTGCCCACGTTTTTTTCATTCTTTTACCATTCAACAGTAAGTGCAAGTGCACTTATATCCCTTTTGATTTTCGAGCTGCTTGCTATTCCAAAGATGAGTCCTTCAGAGCGGTTGGCAAAATTGTTTATGGTACGGGTTTAGTTTAGGTTGAATGCATAATTTTCTATCACAAAGGCTTCCAATTGGTTTGCGGTTGAGAAAATATTATGATGGATGAAAAACAAATCCAAACAGTGCGTGTGTGGACTGCACAGAATTTAAGTTTAATATTCTCCTCTCTTAAAAACGAATTCACTCAACAATGGAATTTAGGAAATGTTGAGAAACATTTCGAGAATAAGTTTTAATGAGAAAATTCCTGATGCTAACTTAATTAGTCTAAGCCCACTTTCAGAATGCAACCTCTGATATATTTCTACGAAATATATGGTCTGAAGGCTGGGCTAGAACTCAAATAAAGAGATACATCATCCCGTTTCTGGTTCCTGATTTTATTAGTAAAAATCCCCTTTAAGGAAACCCTCTCTATTAGTCTTCAAGCGGCTGTAGTGTTGTCAATGCCGGTGAAAAATGGTTGCCACATTCCAGAAGCGCACTTGGCAAGCTCGCATTAAACATAATAAATGAATTCAAATCATTTGCACCGCAATAACTCGCTGCCGGAACGAAGGGGAATTTTCGAGAGAATATTCAAACGGGTTGTGTTGCCTGGAAATGAAATGATAGCTTATCGGCAATGCCTCTCCAAATGCCAATGATGCTGTGCGGTGAGCTGCTGCGGGTTAAGGGGCGCGTCACGGGGTGTTAAGGAGCATGGGCATGGAAGGGGGCACAAGGGGCTGCAAGGACATCGACAGCTTTTGGCAATGGCAGCCAATGGCAGAGAGACAACAAACAGTAAGCAAACGTGGCAGACATTGACTAAAATTGAGTAGAAACCGATACCGCAGGAGGAAGATATATTACAATTGCCGATCACAGGCAACAAATGAATATTTCATGCTGTGCAAATCAACATGACGGAGGGGGCAAAGGGGCGAAGGGGTTGTGTTGCCGGAAAACACATCCACGCACACACTCAGGCACTTCCTACATTTCCTGGAAAGTTTAAGTTAAAAGGTGCGCCGGCAAGGAGCCACAACTTTCTGTTGACAAAAGTTTTTGCGGTGAAATGCCACAGGAGTAATTTGCAAGAGGTCCGGACACAAAACTCTCTCACTTCCAACGCTCGAAAAATCATTTCAACCAACGAACAGCAGCGGTCACCATAATAATAGGAACCAATTTTCCAGGAGAAAATACAAACTAAGGGGAATTTCAACAAATTGGCACCTTAAAAATAGTAACAGTCAATTAAAAAATTTGCATTTATATTAAATAATGATTTCCTTTCTGCAAAATTGGACATTTGGAATCGTCCTTATAAAATAAATGTATTGTATTGTAAATAATATTTTAAAAAATCTTCGTTTTATGAAAAAGTTGAAAACAAATATTTAAAATAAATAACACAACTTCAATGTTTTATTTTATTGTTTAGTCCCTTACAAACTATATAACAATATAAATAAATTTATACTATGTTATTACTAATATAGTACAGAGATTTTAACAATATTAAAGTTGCTATGAAATAGTAACGATAGCATAGGAACAAATTTGACTTTAGAAACGAGCAATTCAAATAATGTTTAATTTATATGTGTTACAACAATCAATATGTGTTCCCCCTCATATTCAGCTACTATTTTTGCCGCATGTGTACCTTTTTACATCCACCCCGGACCCGGTGACATATGTGCCTTCGGTTTAAGACTGCTGCTGTGGCTCCATTTCGGTCTCCTGGCGTTTCCGCCCTGGGGCCCAGGCATTAATCATTCGGCATGTAAATTGCCAATTAATAACTGCTGCATGTCATTTGGCGTCGGCTTAAAAATGCCACGCAGAACTTGCCATCATCAGGGTTGAACGAACGGACGGAAGAACGTCGGAATCTTTCAGGGGCGCTTGCCAAACTTCTAGGCGCATTCGCATTAATGAAGACAAATAGCACTTGAGCCCTGCCAAATTTAGCGGAAAATTGAAAAAAGCTTCGCAGCCAGCAGTTGGCAGATCCTTTGTGCCATAGTTTTTGCTGTCCTACTATGTATGCCATACCTCCGAGCACTCTTGGCAGCCAGTAAACCAGCCACCAGTTACCAATAACCATTCGCAGAGATATTGCAGTGCTATCCGCAATTTATATGTTATTGATACGCCGGCAATGCATTGGACACACAAACGCATGCATATAAGGCTAAGGGACAAATTGTGCACTATATTGGATAAATATAAAATATATTTATTGTATTTTTGGATCGTCTGGGAGGGTGGAGCCAGCCGGGTTTCGGTTGAACGAACGCATGGAAATTTATGCCTGCAGACAAAGTGTCACTGGGGAATGAAATTGGTAAAAACCTAAAATTTCAGATATTATTCAGTTCTGTTACCAAATAAATGAGTTAAAACGAAAAATCTGTTGCTGGTGAAATATTTCAAATGCACAAAATACATTTGGAAAAAATACATTATAGAGCGAGCTTATAGAAAAAGAAACTAACTTTTATTTGATTGAGTGGAGAAAATAAGTAAATGCAAAATATGAGTTGGTATAAATTGTTGTATTAATAAAATAATTATAAAAGGTACAACACTACAGCAATAAATTAAGGATAGGTGTTAAGAAAAAGTTGCAGTAATCCAAAGATTTTCTTAATTCAATCTCTCTTTGAACTTCTAGTAGAGGCAAAAGTTTTAAAATAATAAATACCTGTGAAACTTAACTTAGCCTAAAATGTCAAAAATGTGTGCTATTCAAGCAATAAATAAAATAAAGCAAAAGGCAGATTACTTGTATGGGTTTCACAACAAAACAGGCGATCCAGAGTGTCTGTGTCTCATAAAGTGGCTTTATTTCGGGCTTATCTGGGACCCATTCTCCATTAGTTTTGACATTTTACAAAACTGCTGCTAAGCTGCAAAACAAAATGCAACCGTTTCCGAAATTCACACATAAGTTTTGGTCCTGAATTCTTCAGAGACAACTATTAAAAATATATCATTTCCATGTATGCCAGAGATCCAAGGAAAAAAAATAAAGAAAACTGGCAAGAAAAATACGCAAATGGAAGGAGAATTTTTGTTGTGCTGTTTAAACATCTGCTCTTTGGCATGCACATGCGTATGGGGAAAAATTATTTATCAAAGCGCAAATCCTTTCGCACACACAGAGGAAAGAGACTTGGCGATGGCGAGTGGCAGAATCTCCTATGGCAACAATTTTACAGTGAATTGCACTAAATAACTGCCATTAAGCATAAAAGCTGTTCTCGCATGAAGGAGCTGCTGGCAGCATTTAAGCCAAATGCAAGTTTAAGCATCTTAGAGCTGGCGCAAATAAAGTGGACTTACGCAGCAAGGACATGGACATGGCCTGGGATGCAGAAAAAGATTTGGATGCGGATGCGAATGCGGATGACGACCAATACGAATGCAGGCCAAATGAAAGGCAGAAATGGCGCATAAGAATTACAGTTCCAAACAGAAGTTGCAAACGGAAGCACCGAACTAAAGGCTCAGAAAAGCCGCCAACGCCGGCACACAACTGGCTAACAATTTCGTCAAATGTGTCGCAATTTTGGTCCTCTTCGTTTTTTAGCTTTGCTGTGCTGGTCATGTTCAATGTCCCAAGCTCCATATCCTGGCTGCAGTCCGTGCAGCCACTAATGTGTGCAATTGTGTGGAGCTTCCGGCTTCTTTTTTCATCACTGCTTTTGAAGTTGGCGGGGTATATTGTTTTCAAACTTATTAAGTACACTTTGAAAAAAAAATGTTTGTAACAATATAAACTCTTGAACTATGTCCAGAAATGGACTTGGGAAAGCCAGCCTCATATAAAAAAACAAGTGCAACAAGTAAAGATTAAAATGTAGCTTTAAGTCATCGAAAAATCTTAAGGGTTAAGCTACTTCAACATACCTGATTAGCTTTCAAAGCGTTTACAATCTTCATTATTATATAACATAACTTCTCATTTACTTCAAATTGTTATAGCATTTAAAACATTTTTACTAAAGTTTGGTTTCTTTTGAAGGGCATATTTCTGGTGGGTTAAGTTTCTAACTCATTTTTTCTTTCCATTTTGTGTTTGTGTTGTGCTCAGACGCCGCTGCTTTTTGCTGCATTGCATTAACACAGATAAAGTTCCTTGATACATAATTTCCATGCATACAGAAGTGTCTCCCAGCACATGTGGCAAATCCCCCGACTGCCCTGATGCTCCGCCCTCTAAAAGTCCCCTCCCGTGCCGTCACTGCTCTTTGGCAAACTGTGCCAACTTGCAAATGGCGACAAGATGCTGGCTGGCAAAAGTTTTTTCCTTCGGCTCGGTCCGTCCAAACGGCCAAAAGGAGAAGTACAAACAAAAGTATTACGAGCGTGAGGGCTAAACGTTGCCAAATGCTGGAGCCTCTGCCCGCCACAAGCCCCTCGGGCGCCTTAAAATATGCAAATGCATTTGCGAGCGTAAAATAAGCAGGCGCAGTCTAAAATTATAATCCTCTTGTACGCTTCCCTAAGCACTGAGAAAAACATTACTTTAAATCAGGATAAGACTTTAAAGGACAAATCTCTAACGGATTGTCTCTCAATGCCTGGTCATAATATTCTAAAAATCATATCAGGTTAATTTAAACGAAGTTTTAGTTAAGATTCTGCAAGGTATTTGGAGTTTAAAACTCTAGCTCTAAAACGGAGCTTTTGAAACACACATAGTTTTAAAGCAATTAATAGTATTTTTTTTGCATATTCAAAATATTATTGAAATTTATATTTTAAACTTGACTTACATGTGAAAGTTTATGTACCGTTTTGAATAAATTTAAACTTTTAAATGTTTTATATTCTTTTGTAATCCGTAAAAATAGTTCAAGTAGATCACATTTACATGTCTTTTACCAAAAATAACAATATCGAAAATTTTCTTTATGATTTAAATACGAATAAACTAAACTTTTGAACCACTTTGTTACACTTTTTTTTATAGATAACCAATGTGGAGACCCAGTACATACGCACCATAGATAATCTGATTGCATCACGGATCTCGCTGAAGCTGCAGCTACAAGGAGTTCACTTTTCCAGTGTGAATCCGGCCATCTACAATAGCGCCTACGGTCTGAATTCGGTGTACGGGCACGGCGGACCGGTTTATGCCCCGAACCCGAATCCGGGAGGATTACTCCTGCGCTGCTCGGCGCAAATCGGGGATCTGTACCAGGAGTACAAGGAGATTGAGTTGGGCACACCCCAGAAGGATCCGGTACCGGCACGTGGTAAGTTTCCTATGGCCTTCAGTCAATTACGAAAGAACCAACTGACTTCCGTTTCCGGTTTTTCTCCGGCCCTTCCGGTTTTCCGCTTGCAGTTACGCTCTCATCCGACTCGAGCCTGAAGAACTTTTTCAGCTCGTATTTCTCGACTTCGGCATCGACGGCATCGCGACTTCTGCCCGGCGTCTATATGGCGCCGTTCATAATGGCCATGCTGGCTGGATTATTCCGGCTAATTGAGGTTGCATTTGAGACCTGCGATGCCAGCCAGCAGTCGGCAGTCGGGCATTCGATGGCACATTCCAAGGAGCGAGGGGAGCGGCGTCCAGCTCTTTTGTCCTGCTGTAGCGCCTCCAAGGCGTCAAGACAGCAACTGGCCTGGCCAAAATCACAGACAGAAAACCTGGCCTAGGCGTGTGCTACCACTTAGTTAAAGCCCTAAGTTATTCAAAATATATATTGGGAATTTACTGGACCTGGAAAATTAATAAGTACTTAAGTGAAAATAAAATGAAAAATAAATACTAAAAGTCATTCTAGTAGTTATAAACCATTTCAGATGGCAGTTGAAGTTTTCAGATACAAATTTATTTCCCATCAGTTCAACATTTATTATTTAAACAGGTCTAGTAAATACCCTTACTTTGTTGATTTCAAGGATCTTCTTTTGATGACTGCTTTTCATGTTGATTTGTATTTTACACCAAAAAACCGCACTTAGAGATGTGGTGTCTACTAGCGAGCTAAAGAGAAAAAACAAATTAAGTTTAAGCAAAGATTTATAAACTAGCCTAGTCGTAAAAAAACAAAACTGGAGGTTGGCCAGCAGAACAGAAGAGTTAAAAACTTATAAAGCAGGACGTACACAATTCAACTATAAATGTTTACACAAAAACGATGAAGCAAAATGAGAATATGATAAGTACATGAGATTACCGATTCTACTTTTAATGTGCAAAAAAACAGAATAATAAACCAAACCAAAAAACAAAGCAAAGCCAAAAATCAAAGGAGTGTGTTCGAAAGACGAGGAAAATGTGTGTAAAATATATTTAAAGAAACATATTAAATTAATTATATTTAAAATAAATAAATCAAAGCCTTGTATGGGCATATTGTAAATGGTGGTGAAATTAAATAAAATGTGTGTTAATTTTAATTATGCTCCTGTTATTTTTCTATTGGCAGGATTGATATATTTTTTATTTTTGATTATTTTGAGGTAAGTTTAAATCACTTTATTCGTTTTCCTCTGTTTTAGGTAGGATTTCTGACCGGTGACCCAAGGGATTTTCCGATTCAACAAATTTTCACTGTTGATTTTTGGCGTTAAGAATTCTTACTCAACGTTTTTGCAACAAAGGATGGTTTTTTTTTTTAAGCCCACCCTTTCTGTCTATTGTCTGCATTTAGTTTGCCTGCCAAAGTGTGAAAAAACTTGCTGTTACGCAGCGGAAGATCTGAAAGAAATATAGAAGTAGAATCTAACACAATGCAATGCACACTCCCGCTTCGCTTTTCCCGCAATTTTCCTTCGTTTTTTGCCATTTCCGTTCTGCATGCGCATTTTGTATTATATTTTGTGCTTCCTAGTTTTTCCCGACGCTTTTCCGAAATTATTGAAGCGAGCTTTGTTATTTCTTTTCAATTGCGACTGAGAGAAGTCCTTTTCCAAGAGGTTCGTTTTTCTTTGGCTGTTATCACAAATAATTGTAGCTATGTACATATACATAAGGATCCTGTTTCGTGTTTTGCCTCTCACATAAAGCATACGCATACTTGTTTTTAAAATTGCATAGCGAAAGAATCATTTGAATTGTGCGTGATTTCCACAAAAAACATAAAACATGTTAACAAATACAAACGAGTAAATATAACAATACATCTAAATTCCCATTCGTTTGACCAGCGTCTGGAAAGTTCAGTGCTTGTGTATTTAAATTAAATTGCAAACAAACAAGCACCAAAATAATGGCAACCACTCTGAAAATGATAACAGCAAAATATATCTAAATGCCTTCTACAGAAATGCGATTCTGCGTCGGTTGCAAATCCCGAAAATCCTTGGCTTCAACAAGGATTGTTGACAAAACAACCGGAATATGCAATTCAATTGTACTTCTGCAAACAAATAATTTGTAAAAAAGTTTTTGGGCTAGTTACAGCGACTTAAAAAAATATTTCAATGGCATTTGAAAAAGGCTGAAATCTATAGTTGGTATAAGCTACTAAATAGCTGTTATATCATTTTAAAAACGGAAACATTTGATCTCTGAAATTTTTCAAGCAACTTATTCATTTAGGTAAGTATCCAATTAGAAGAAGGGTGTTAAATGCCTTAATATACATCCATCAATTAGCAGGCATTCTCATGTACCGCAACAAGATCCTTCGATTATTCGATCAACATTTTCCATGCATGTTTGGTTCCTGGAACAGCAGGCTTTGCCACGCCCAATTTGATACTTTATTTCATTGGCCGGAGAGGACCTAGTTGTTTTGATAGCAAAACAGCGCGAAACAGTAGCTGAATTGCAGCGAAATGATGCAGTGCCTGATAATTGAAGTCAACTAATTTGCATTGCAGATGACTGCAACATCGAAAAGGCATGCACATGTCCCGTGCTTGGTGTTCCCGGATCGGAACTGTATACTGAATACTGGACCGCGGCTATTTACGTGCCATTAGACGGCAGCGAGTACGTGTCCTGGAAAAGGTCCTGCATAAAATCCACCAAAGCGGGGCAGAGGGTGAACCAAATTGAGTTTGATAGACCGCAGAGCACAATTAAAATCAATTAGCTACGCGCATCGAATTACAAATTGATTTATTTATGATGTTTTCAACCCCGCCACAATCGTCGGTGGTTGTTGGCTATCCTGAATCCTGATTTTTGACTGTCATATATGTATGGCGGGAGGTGGTGGCGCGGTCTCTGTTTGCTTTTCTCACGATATCCTGCGACATCCTCCTGACCTGCGTGTCGCAGGATGTCAAGTGTGCATTTCAAATGGCCAACTAACGCTGTTGTCGCGTCATCGCTTCCCTATCATCAGAATCCCAGTCCCAGTCCCCATTCAAGCTGCAGCATAAAGCAGACATCGTGCTGGCCAGCAGCGTAAATTGATTCCATTGATTCCCGCTCAAATTTATAGTTAGCTGGTGCCTGTGGGACTGGCACTTGACTTTCGCTTCAACATCATGGAGCAGAGTTTTGAGAGCAGAGTGCACAGTGCAGGATGCACCGTGGAGTAATCTGAATGTCATAAAATTAGGACTTTCTTGTCTCAAACATTGAAAAATGGGTATGCATATTATTGCTTAGCAATATTGAAAAAATAGCGGTTACAAAATAATGCTAGCTTGCAAATAACAAATATATAAGATAACAAATTTTCCATAATGAAATACAAAATATATATGTATTAAGTGTATACTTTCAGTTAACTAAAATTAAGAATAATATTATTTTTCGAAGGTCAGAAACTAAGGTAGGTAGCAGCACCGCTGAATTCCCCATTCAATAGCCGGCACATTGCTATTATAGATGATTGAGGGACTCCCAATGGGTTTTCTGGAAAATCTCTATATACGTGATACACACACGGCGGATGCTTGATATTTATCGCCGCTTAACGGTAAAATTTGTGCTGACGAGAAGCGTTCCATGTGCATGGAGCGTGATTAACGAAAATGTGCATTAAGTGTGCATGAGTGCCCTGATTAATAGAGCAAGGACTCGACTGGGACCGTATTAAAGTTACCGCCGAGCAAATTTGCATCACTTAAAGCAAAACGCAAATGAGGCAGCACGAGTGCACAATAAATACGAATAATGACAATGCATCCGCGATAAGCGATGTGGTTCAAACGCATCTTGGGTTCCGTAGGCACATTTGACACGCCTCGAACTCATTTAAATTGACAGCGAAACTACTTGGCCCGTTGGCCTGCCTTTCATTGCAAAATATTCTCGTTGCAGTTGCAGTAAAGGACGCAGGCAAATAAATAAATGCGTAGCTGAGCTCCCACATCTGGCTCCGCCAGCGCCAGATGTGACACTTTTCACATAACTGCAAATTGGCAAAATGCGGGACCTCAATGCCAGATGGACATTTTCATTCCGAATTCGCAGCCTGGACACTGGGCATGGGCGCTGGACAATTTACAATGGACGGGAGACATGAAGACTTATTAAGAAAAGTGTTGCTGTCTCATGAATAAACTGTGCAATGAGATGTGATGTCTTCGAACGGACTGAAAGCCTGTTGTCAGTTGGCAATTCCTTGAGTGCCAGTCACAGTGGGCCGAAAAGGAATCGGAACATTATATATATTATATATACACGCAAGGAGAGGAAAAAGTCACACGGAAGTGCAGCAGCTGACAAAATGGAGATGACGTCAATCTCTCAGGAATCTCAGACTCAGAGCACTTCTCGAACCAAATGTTTCCCTCTACGAAACTTAAGATCGTATGAGTAGGACATTTTTCCTTCAGTGTATGTAAGCCCATTTGCGTTGCTTGACATGTACAGGTAAGCTTTTCGAACTCCCCCTAACTTAATTTTACCCTCGGGCCTCGGAAAAAAGGGTTTATTAAATTAACATTTAACATTTAAGATTTTCGGGGCGAGCTGAAAACTTTTGCTGAACCTGCCTCGTTTAAGCAAAATGTCGCCTTATTGAATTTGCACTGGACAACTTTTGTCAGCGCCGGACAAGTGCTCCAAATGAGTGTCGCAAAGTTTGACCAATGTCCATGACTCTGGAGCGGGGTTGGTCAACGATCTCTTAGCACCGGGGAGCACACACGACACAGGATGGGATTCGGATTTGGAGTAGGAGCTGGAGTATGAGTATGAGCAGGAGTAGGAGCTGCCATTATAAATGTACATATATCTGGGCGGGAGACACTTGGACACGCGCACGCTTTCGTGTAATAAACTTCAAAAAATAATTTCGGCAGCGTCTACGACAACTGAAACTTGACACTTTGCAAAGAAAGTTTCTGTGGCCTGAGTGTTGTGAGGAAAATGGAAAAGTGTGCGGGAAAGCAAGGGGTGAGGGGAAGAGTGGAAAGTGGGAAAGACCCGGGGTGTGGTCTGGAAAGTGACAGCATAATTTAATTTGCGCACGAATTTCCAAACTTGTGAGTTATCGAAATTTGCACATAGTTGTAATGCATTATGCAGCAGAAGCTTCCATACTATCTTATTTTCCGGCATAGAAATCCGGATCCAGAATTCGACTGCTTAAAAATCCAATTAATGGTGACAGTGGTCTCGCATGCCAATGCCAATCATCATAAAGCCGAGCCGGGGCTATTCTCAAGTCCCCATGCCCATCAAATCAGATCGAATTAAGCCGTGGAGAGACAGATACTCACTCGGGGGAGTTCGACATTGAGTTCGAGTGCGAGTGCGAGTTCAAGCTCGCACGATTCGCCCAGACAACAAGAAAACTTTTAATCCATATTAAATGAACTTTTCTGCACAATTTTCATCAAATTTATTTTGTATTTATTTACACTTTTGTTTGGTTTTTCATTCGCCGCCTCGCACACTGCAAAAACAACGAGGACGAAACTTTTGTCATAAAATTTGTTTTTATGTGTCCTGCATGGGGGAGGACTATTTTATATGCCAACTAAACCAGAGCTGGCAAATGCCTCACGTTCTTCATTATTTCCATCGAATAGCTCCGAAGTTGTTTGCTTTTTTATTAGTTTTCGCTCCAGTTTGGGAGAATTAAGGGATTCTTTTTCCATTTTGGAAAAAGCTCACAATTTAATAACTTGTTTCGCTTTGACTATCCACAATCCACTTGCTTTGTCAACTATTTGCGCACTAATTAAATTTTAATGATTTCTGTGCTTGGCCCACAAAACAAACAAATTACGGCAAACAACTTTGAAAACAAACTTTTCGCTTAATTCGGTGAATGCAGAGCGTACAACAAATTCGCGTTCTCGTAAAAATGCAGCAAACTAAAGTCGTTGAACTTGTGCAAAATGCCCAACAAGTTGCTGTTGCCGTTAAAGTCGCTGCCGCAGTTGCAATTTCTGTTGCTCTTGCTGTTGCAGTTGCCAAAGTCTAAGTTAAAGTTAATTGTATGAAACTTAAGTGGACACTTAACGCAATTTCCGGTTGAAAGTAC